ATATTAAATATTTCTGGTCAGTTAATTAAATCGAAATATCTCTATTAATGTACGACAGATGAGTTATAAAATATTAAATATTTCTGGTCAGTTAATTAAATCGAAATATCTCTATTAATGTACAATGTTGTTGTTTTTAGCCCAAAGCTACACACAATGAGCTATCTTAGCTCTGTCTACCGTGATGAATCGAACCCCGGATTTTAGCGTTATAAGTCTGTAAGCTTACCGCTGACCAACCCGGGGAACCTAATGCATACTATCCGACATACCTTTTCAACGCACATAAAGGAAGACACAGAGGCCCTCGGGGGAGGGGGGTGACATAAAGGTCAGATTCGAACGTGGACTCACCTATGTCACGCCCCTTTGGACCTTAAAGATACATGCCAGGTTTTGTGACAATCGGTCAAACGGTTGTTGTTGTTGTTTGAAGTTAAGCACAAAGCTACACAATGGATTATCTGTGCTCTGCCCACCACGGGTATCGAAACCCAGTTCCTAGCGTTGTAAGTTCGCAGACATACCGTTGTGCCACTGGTCAAACGGTTCGCCGGTTTTAAGCGGACACCCACAGACCTCTGGGAAATGTTTAGATGCTGCTTTTAATATATGTTTTAGCTTCAACCTATCAAATTTGATCGGAAGTTATTGATAACACACGAGGTTACGTTGAAATGGGATCAACTTTCAGTATTCTGTTTTTAAAAACATATTTTAACTCGGGGAAACAAGTATCCTACCATTACGCTCTGTCTACGCTCTGTCTATCTTTTCTCTACAGTACATTATAATAAAAGTTTCTAAAACGATAAAAAGTTTTGGACATAGATAAAGGCTAAGGAAATGTTATACATAGGTATAAACGTAAACAGAGATTTTTCACTCACAATTAAATTGAAAGGTAAGAAAAGTTAACTAATATATCCAAATCACCTCTGGTGTGTCTCATTCCGCATCTACTTTTAATACACACTGTTTCCGCTAGGTGTCACACCGAACTGGTGGGCTTAATAGCGTATTCTACGTCATGACGATAGAGGCTGTGAGTTATTGGTGGGATCGTCGTGCCACTTAATTGTTATCATTGGTTTATTTTTTCCCCCAGTAGAGTGAGTCAGGCCAGGCGTACGACATTACTATTGACCGTGAGGCTTAACTTGGTAGCTCAGCTATTACTAAGCCTCTCACGTCACATCCACGTGCTCACGTCGAGTCTCGTGAATGCTCTAACAAACCACTATCAACAGATGATGCTTTTAGCTGACTTATTAGAGTTAACAGTTTCATTGCTAAGCCTAACCCAACTTGTCTTCATTCGCCGAACGAAAATAAGTGTTTTGATTTCAGACTCATCTCGTCGTCAGAATTTACAAAGACTATTTTCTTTTCCTCAAGAAAAAAACTTATAAGATTTAGATCCTCGGAAACGGTCACTCGATTTTTTCAGGTCAAAAGTTAAATTACGAGGTTACTGTTTTATACGAGGATAGTACTCGTTTCTACTCCTAAACTTTACTGTATTACTAAAAGAAATAACGAACTGTGATACGAGAAGAAAAACGGACGGTCAAACATTTGACATTCACAACAAGACATTTGCCGAGGCTGCAATTCTTGTCCTTTCATCCGGGCATTTAATCCTACAAAAAAAAAAAAGAAACGACAGTAGATAAGACTGCGAAAACGTAGCTAAGTCTCTTTATATCAAAGTTTTGAAGAAACGTACGACTCCATGCAACAAACTCCACGTGTTGCCCGCATCTGAGGGATGTGAGTCTGTTTCCTACAAACGTTAGACGTATTTACTCCAGAAACATTTCGAGAAAATGCTACACGCCATGGATATGGAAAATTGTCACAAAAATGCTGAAGGTAACATCCTAACTTCCGATCAGCTAGGAAGTGCCTTCCGTGTAGTTCCTCCGAAACGACCGAAGGGTGGTAAGTGTTTCGGTATTTTTCTTTTTATCGTTTATTTAGAGATGTTTCTCTATTCGTCTGGATTCTTTTTAGACTTTATGAGATCTTTTTTTACGTTTCCGCTTTTGAAATCTTTTTTGACCCTAAAATTATTATTGGGTCCTCACTACCGGATTTTTTTAAACATGGGCGCGGATTGATAAAGAGAGCTGTGGGTTTCGGAGTTGTCGAGCCGACTTCGAACCTGTGCGATACCACTAATTATTTCCCGTACTTTAAGCTGAGGGTGCGTCATAAGAATTACGGTCAGTTCTTAGCGTGGATTGTGGGTGGGTAGGGTCCTTTTAATATTGGTTTGTCTGAATTAAGTATCTTTCATTATTCATTTAATTTAAGCATTGTTGGTAATTAAGCACAAAGCTACACAATAGGCTATCTGTGCTCTGCCCACCACGGGTATCGAAATCTGGATTCTAGCGTTGTGAGTCCGCAGACATACCGCGGTACCATTTAAGCATATATTAGAAGTTTGAAAAATAAAAAAAGTGTAATAAAGAAGGTCAGTTTTTTTTTGTTTTTTTTTGAAATTTCAGGAGACTGATTAGAGGTAGATAACAAACAGTATTAACTTTAGTAATTAGCCCTTTTAGTATCTGTTAAATAATTAATGGAATTAAAAGTAGAACAGTCAATATAATTTACGTTTTTTGTCTTTAAGCTCGGCACGTTCTTGGACGTCTATTAAACGTTTTAACTAAAAGAAATCATCTTTAAGTTCAGAAGACGTAAAACGTTTGGCACATTTAAGGGCATTTTATGTTGTTGTTTTTTTAATTATTATTATTATTTGCACATATTGTTATTTGTATTTATAGTAAAGCTACTAAACCTATCTTATATTCATAATAGTAATTTATAATATGTTAAACAAATTTTTCCAAAGTGTTTATCTATGAAATTGTTTGTGGGTGTGTAAAGTTACTGGTTGTATGTCATACGGCAAGATCCCACTTAATTACCCTCATTCCTGGTGAGATCCCTCGTGTATTTTATTTAGTGACGTCCCCCAGTGTTTTGATGAGTTCTATACACCGAGTGTTGTAACATGCAAAAAAAAAATAGAAAATCACTTAATATGTTGCAGTTTCAAAACTTGACTCCTTGCTATACAGTACCGCAGCGGTGTTTTACTTGCAAACCAAAACTGAAACTCACGCTCGAATAATATCATCTTTCTAAATAGTATGGTACACAGTGACACATTCAACAATGTTAGTACGCTATACAGTACCGCAGCGGTGTTTTACTTGCAAACCAAAACTGAAACTCACGCTCGAATTATATCATCTTTCTAAATAGTATGGTACACAGTGACACATTCAACAATGTTAGTACGCTATACAGTGACACGTTCAACAATGTTAGTACAGAATACAGTGACACGTTCAACAATGTTAGTACGCTATACTGTGACACGTTCAACAATGTTAGTACGGTATACAGTGACACGTTCAACAATGTTAGTACGGTATACTGTGACACGTTCAACAATGTTAGTACGGTATACTGTGACACGTTCAACAATGTTAGTACAGAATACAGTGACACATTCAACAATGTTAGTACAGAATACAGTGACACATTCAACAATGTTAGCACGCTATACAGTACCGCAGCGGTGTTTTAATTGCAAACCAAAACTGAAACTCACGCTCGAATTATATCATCTTTCTAAATAGTATGGTACACAGTGACACTTCAACAATGTTAGTACAGAATACAGTGACACATTCAACAATGTTAGTACGCTATACAGTACCGCAGCGGTGTTTTAATTGCAAACCAAAACTGAAACTCACGCTCGAATTATATCATCTTTCTAAATAGTATGGTACACAGTGACACATTCAACAATGTTAGTACAGAATACAGTGACACATTCAACAATGTGAGTACGCTATACTGTGACACGTTCAACAATGTTAGTACGGTATACTGTGACACGTTCAACAATGTTAGTACGGTATACAGTGACACGTTCAACAATGTTAGTACGGTATACAGTGACACGTTCAACAATGTTAGTACGGTATACTGTGATACATTCAACAATGTTAGTACGGTATATCTTATACAATAGAAATATGGAACTATCAAATATCTAAATTGTAATCATTGCCATAGTGTATATTACTGAATAGGACACCAACACAACGGTTGTACAGTTATTTACCAAAGGTCCTAGGTATAATAGAAACTTTCGAGACTTTCCCGCCCTCGCTAACTCTGTGGTAAGTTTGAGGGCATATAATGATAAAATTCAGGGTACGTTGCGATGGATCATTGTGAAAATTGTAATAGTTTACTATGGCTACACAGCCCCCAACAAAATGATTTTGTTACTTGGTTATATTGTAATAATTTTCTACGGCTACACAGCCCCCAACAAAATGGTTTTGTTACTTGGTTATATTGTATTAGTTTTCTACGGCTACACAGCCCCCAACAAAATGATTTTGTTACTTGGTTATATTGTATTAGTTTTCTACGGCTACACAGCCCCCAACAAAATGGTTTTGTTACTAGGTTATATTGTAATAATTTTCTCCGGCTACACAGCCCCCAACAAAATGGTTTTGTTACTAGGTTATATTGTAATAATTTTCTACGGTTACAGAGCCCCCAACAAAATGGTTTTGTTACTAGGTTATATTGTAATAGTTTTCTACGGCTACACAGCCCCCAACAAAATGGTTTTGTTACTTGGTTATATTGTAATAGTTTTCTACGGCTATACAGCCCCCAACAAAATGGTTTTGTTACTAGGTTATATTGTAATAATTTTCTACGGCTATACAGCCCCCAACAAAATGGTTTTGTTACTAGGTTATATTGTAATAATTTTCTACGGCTACACAGCCCCCAACAAAATGGTTTTGTTACTAGGTTATATTGTATTAGTTTTCTACGGCTACACAGCCCCCATCAAAATGGTTTTGTTACTTGGTTATCTTGTAATCACTTTCTACGGTTACAGAGCCCCCAACAAAATGGTTTTGTTACTTGGTTATATTGTAATAGTTTTCTACGGCTATACAGCCCCCAACAAAATGGTTTTGTTACTTGGTTATCTTGTAATAATTTTCTACGGCTATTTCATGATTCTTCGTCTTTGCTGTTTAAATATTTTTTTTAAAAAATGTACGAAGTTTATCTATTTTTCCTACAAAATTATTTCTTTAATCGTGAAAAAAAATAAAACTTAACTGCCCTAAATTGCAAAATAAAAATTCGTGAACTTAACAGTTGTTTCTGTTTACTGTATACCTTCAACGTAATTGACCACGTTGATCAATCATTTATACGTTATCTATTTATTTATTTTTTTTTTACCGAGGAAGGTTAATTGGTTAATTTTTGGAAAACGAGTCCACGTATCAAAATATCAAATAATCAATTAATATCTAATGTTGTTGATTAGGAGCAGAAAGAGGCCATTTTACTTCATTAACATGGTATAGGCAAATAAAAAAATCAACAAACTGGCATTATATAATGAACTTAATTAACTATTTTCATTTAAAGGTCTTCTTACTTCACTCGGATACTAATGATACACAGGCGTGTAAATAAAGAGCTGTTGTTTTATCCTTCCAACAGTAAATTATCTATATAAAAATAATCATATTCTAATCAACAATAATTACAATTTAAATTAAATGTACCATTTTTATTTTTATTTATGTAGCATTTCATTTCAAAAAGATAACGTCTGGATTCTGGATTAAGCGCAAAAACTACACAAAGGACTATCTGTGCTCTGCCCACCACGGGTATCGAAACCCGGTTTCTAGCGTTGTAAGTCCGCAGACATGCATGCCGCTGTGCCTTGCCATAATGTTGAGGCTCAGGACAAATGGCATCCAGTTTTTACAAAGTATGGTCAGGTGTGGCCTAGTAGTAAGTTTGTCGGACTGTGAATATGGAGGCCCATGGTTTGCGTCCCGTTACCGCAAACATGTGTTACACACTTTGGGGCGGTGGGTACAATAAAAGACAAATCCAAGTATTCGATCAGAGTAGCCAATAAGGTGCTGTTGACTAGCTGCATTCCCTATACGTTATCTTTTAACAAGAGGGAATCCTCAATAGCCGCAGCACTTGAAATTATTTTAAACAGAATTAGAGCAAATAAATTTATGAGACTTTTTTTTCCTTTTTAATAGCTATATCTTTGTGCTCCAGCGATACCAAATGTGGGGCGCGCCTATACCCGAATCAATTTTTTTTTCTCATCAGGATCTCTATCAGCCTGCCCTCAAATTAAAATTATTTTAGGCAAGATTAGAATTGATTAATCTACGAGACCTTGGGCTTGGTCAAATACATCAATTGTAAGGGTTTGACCACCTGAGTCCAAAACTATAATCAGATTTCAAATCGGTCAAGAGATGACGGATCTATGAGCTAAAAGTTTGTACTTAAAAAAAAACAGCAACTCAGAGCCATTCTATGAGCCACTTTGCCGCGACTAAAAAGTAAGGACACGTTCAGATAAACTTAGTGTAGCTTTTCGCGATATTTTGAAGCAAACAAACTTTCTTTAAATGGCTTGATGTTGTTGTTTGTTTGTGTAAAACACGTGGATACGGTGTATTGTAGTGGAAAACATATAAGACAATAACTAGTTGTTTTATTTAGTTAGTTATATAGAATAGTAATGAATACGTTTTGTTCCCCTACAACAGTACACAGTAGCCGTATGTTTTATGTTATAAAATACAATAGCCGCGTATTATGTATATTTGTGTGTGTGTGTGTGTGTTATGTTATGTATATTATTATTTGCTACAATACCCGATGATCTGGAAGTGGCCTAGTTTATCGAGTGTTTGGGCTATGAATTCGGGGGTTAATGGTTCGCAACTCGTTCGCTTCGTGGGGGCGCTATAAGAATGCCGGTTATGATAACAGTGCCCCAACAGTTTATGATGGATGCTGTTGATCAACTGACTTGTCAA